CGGTATTTTGATGATTTTAGCCACATTTTTCAACGGAATTCTCTGAGAATCCACAATAGGAGTACATTACCCCCTGGAAGGGAATGGTCTATATAGGTCCACGATATCATATGTCCTCATAGACAGGATTTATACGATGCTTAGTAGCAGAGCACGCCGCATGGGGGTGTCCTATCACCATTACTCTGGTATTAGAGGAAACGGGGACAAAAGTAGCCGCATACGCTGTTGATGTCGTCCTACTTATGCCGGTAAATTCCTGCAAACAATATCTGACTGGATTGATACGATGCTTAGTAGCAGAATCATCAACTCGACCATTTAGGAAACATCCGTTAGGAAATCGGTTACTAAGAGCACGCCGCAAGGGGGTGTCCTATCACCATTACTCTGGCTTTTGGTTATTAACAACATACTCATAGATCTAGAGGAAACAGGGACAAAAGTAGTCGCATACGCTGATGATGTCGTCCTACTTATGCCGGTAAATTCCTGCAAACAATATCTGACCTAATGCAGGGAGCTCTAGTCACCCTATCACGGTGGGCGCGTCGCAATGGACTAGTCGTTTTTTTCACTAAGAAACGTAAATATCCTTCATTTATACCATCTAACCTGGATGGAGTCACTTTAAACCTCTCACCAGAAGCCAAATACCTTGACACTATCCTCGACCGCCAATTAAGTTGGAAGAGGAACACTGAGGAACGAGCTAAGAGAGGCTTGATCGTACTCTATTCCTGTAAGAACTCCATAGGTAAAAGCTGGGGCCTCAAGCCACACATCATTAAATGGAAGCATGAGTCAATTGTTCGCCCCATTCTATCCTATGGATCTCTAGTATGGTGGCACTCTTTGAAGAAGTCAACCTACTTACGACACATTAACAAAGTTCAAAGAGTCGCATCCCTACTAATAACGGGTGCCTTCGGGAGCACGCCCTAAGCAGCACTGGACACCCTACTGTGCTTAGTGAGTATACATGTAGACGAATAGGCATTCAGGAGTGCTAATCGACTCAGAGAACTAAACGAATGGCGCAGTCAACCCTTTGGACATTCTGCGATTCTAAGACGTGTAAGGAATGTGGAAGTGGTAGCCAATACAAGTGACTATATTTCACCACGGTTGAGCTTCAACCCACCTGACATACACATACCTAACAGAGACGCCTGGGCCCATAACAACCCACCATTTCGCGGCATAGCTGTTTATACCGACGGTTCAAAGATGGACTGTGAATGGGCTGGTGTCTTCTGTGATACCCTTAATGTTCGTGAATTCTACAAGCTTGGAAACAACTGTAGCGTATTTCAGGCGGAAATCTTTGCGGTTAAAAAGGCCACAGACCTGCTGGTCACGAGGAATACTGAGGTCAGCGGTCCGGTGTCTATATTTGTCGATAGTCAAGCGGCACTGAAGGTCTTAAATTCCAATACCATTAAGTCTAGGGCTGTTTTGAACTGTAGGAAAGCCTTGGAAAACACTGGGTTGTTTATCAACCTCTGTTGGGTCCTGGTCATTATAACATCCCAGGTAACGAGACTGCAGACAATTTGGAGAGGCTAGGATCTGAATCAACTACAATTAAAGTAGTAGAAATCGAGACAGTCGAACACTTGCTCTGCCATTGCCCAGCACTCATTAATGTGAGACTCACGCTGGTGGGAGAACTAGTGTCACATGATCTGTCTTCTTTTTCTAACACTGACCCTATAGTAATCCTTCAATTAGCCAGAAGATTCAAGTGGCTAAAGACGACACAGCAAATTCCTCAGCCGTAGATCGCCCTCTATAACTCTATCTCCTATCTTCTATCAACCACTCCTCCCTTATTTCTTACTATTCTTCTAGGATGAACACAATGGACCTATAGGTCCCCGAGTGGAGCGGTTGCCATATGGTAACTGCGCGTCCTTTAACCTAACCTATATAACGGTTCCTCTCGGTTCAGTATTTTGATGATTTTTGCGACGTTATTCACAAGAATTCTTTCAAATTTCGTATATAAAGTTCGGAGCAGTTACTACAGCCTATGACCAAATTACTTATGCACGACCACGTCTTTGTATAGCCCCCATATAACGATTTTCATTTAAGTGGTATTCTCAGATGGAATTTTTTTTTTTTTTTGAAAATTTTCAAGTTCTTCCAAATGGTGGAGGGCATAAAAAGTTCGGCCCGGCCGACCTTAGCAGCTTTTTTACTTGTTCGTATTTAAAATGTGATGTCCGGCTTTGGAATCGAACCCAGGTGTTCAGAGAGCAAAGCTGGCATGCTTACCACTGCGCCACTGCGGCTTATATTCCTCAGATAGACTAAAGTCTTATTTTTGTTCAATTCGTAAGTAATTGCAAGGTATCGATGATTTATGCGATGGAAGCCACGAAATAGTGTCTGCACATCTTATTTAATCTTCCTTGGCGCCACTACGTAGTAACTCCGTGACGATAGAAAGTAGGCAACAGTAGTTTTGTTATTGTAAATGTACATATCGGATTTATTGGGATTAGAAGCGTCTTAAAAAAGGAGTGATTGACTTACATTCAAATGCTTGTCACATATACCCTTTGAAGCCACGGTATAGGGTATTACACTAAAATAATGCACTGCTATTGCACTGATTCGGTGCAACTATTCACAACTATACATGCGGATATTTAGTGCGGCAGAAGAGAAAATTTTGCTTATTTACGTACCCGCTAAGATAGAAGTGGACCTCGTCACTCATCATTATTTTTGATGAAAAATCATCTTCTTCTTGTTGGTGATTATGGATGGCTTGAGCGTATGTTAGACGCGATTGACGGTCAGCAGCTAACAGCTGATGCATCATCGGGACTTTTTACGGAAACATCTTCAATTCTTGTACCATTTTCGTGACACATTGTCTGGTTGATTTCGACGGCGCTTCCATGACATCCTCGGCTACAGCAGCAAAATATTCTCTGCAGAACGGATACTCCGAAGTCTGCCATCTTTTGTTGTGCCAGTCTCTTCGAGGTGAGCGGCTAAACGTCGCAGTGTTTCACCAGTAGGTGTTGGACGGCCAGGAAATCTGCGACGAAATTGACGTTGTGCCAAAGTCAAATAAATAGTCACCAATATTCCGCGTTCCGGACAGAGTAGCGCAAAATTGTTTAATAACGTGTATTTCGGATGTGTTTACTACAAAAATGCCTAAACAGAACGGACATTAGGAGCCAATCGTAAAATTGATACAGTTCCTGATAAGAGGATTACTTTTGCGCTACCGTATATATATTTATTATTTCTTTTTTTATTTTACTATTTTTGTCAAGAACAAATTACATCTTTTAGACCTTACTAGTGCTTGTTGAGCACTTGGTTTTTTCTTATTATATAATTCTTATAATCGTTATTGTATTGAAGGTTTTTGTTCTAATGAAGTTCTTGATTCTTACTCTAATAAGTCTATTTTCCCACAATTGATTTCTTCTTTCGCAGCTTTGTTCACAATGTGTTGTATCACTGCTATCTGCCTTCCTCTTTTAGCAGAGTAGTCACTCCTTCTTTACCACATTTAAGTTGATGACTCTCGCTCGCTTTCCATCGTTTTATTAAAACAGTGACTCACTAGATCAGTTTTTGTTTGTCGATGACTTAGTTGAGAATATGATTGTGTCATATCGACTTGTAATGTATTGGATTTTAGTCTATATTGTAAAATTTGTTGTTTTTATTTTTCAAAACAATAAATACATACACAAAATTGCCAGAAGTCGGGCACACTTTGAAAAAAAAACAAGTAAAAAAACATTAAGTTCGGCCGGGCCAAACTTTTAATACCCTCCACCCTAGGGTAAAAGAACATTAGAAGAAATGTTTCAAAAAACATTAAAATGCCGAATATCGGGAGGTACCGTTATATAGGGGCTTCACCAACACGTGCACCTATAATTACAATGTTTCGCCACACGAACTAGGAGCCATTATGACCCACAAATACCAACTTTTACACAAATCAGTGAAAAAATGTGACATAAATCATCAAAATACCGAATATCGGGAGGTACCGTTATATGGGGACTATACCAGAACGTGGACCTATACATGCAATGTTTTGCCACACGCTCAGGGACCCGTTGTGTCCTACAAATACCAATTTTCAGACAAATCCGTGAAAAAATGTGGCATAAATCATCAAAATACCGAATATCGGGAGGTACCGTTATATGGGGGCTATACCAAAAGTGGACCTATACAGGCAATGTTTTGCCACACGCTCAGGGACCCGTCATGACCTACAAATACCAATTTTCAGATAAATCCGTGAAAAAATGTGGCATAAATCATCAAAATACGGAATATCGGGAGGTACCGTTATATGGGGACTATACCAGAACGTGGACTGATATATCTCATTTTCAATACCAACCATCCTAGAGACAATACACACACTTGTGCCAAATTTCAAAGGTCTACGTCAAATAATGTGGGCTCTATCGTGATTTCAACAGACAGACAGACAGACGGACAGACAGACAGACAGACGGACAGACAGACAGACAGACGGACATCGCTAAATCGTCTTAGAATTTTATGCTGATTATGAATATATATACTTTATGGGGTCTACGACGAATATTTAGAGGTGTTGCAAACGGAATGACAAAGTTAATATACCCTCCTACCCATGGTGGAGGGTATAAAAATTGTAATCAGCTGGTAGCTCTACCTTATGCCATGGTACAAACCTAAACTTTTTAAATTTTACAACTGCTAAATTTTCTATTTTTGTTTTGAATAAGAGGAAATATGTTCCAACGCATTTCATTGGTTTGCTATTGAATATGTATCATTGTCATATATATTTGCTTTATCAATGCTTTTCGATCTGTACGTATTTTATTGTTAGCAAGCATAAAATTGGAAATAGTTTCATATGTTACCATTCTCTCATATTCGGCCGGACCGAACTTTAAATGCCTTTTTTACTTGTTAAATTTGTGTTAATCCCATAATTATATTTTTTACAGGATTGGATTCAAAATTCGACGAGGAAAATGCTTTAATAACCGTAGATTTAAGTTTCATTCATTCTTCAGAAGAACTGGATTCTATGCAGATTGCAAATATAACGTTTAATAATTTAGATGTCATTGGTAAACATTGCATTGTCTCAAATCAAGTACGTTTTAATTAATTTATTCCGTTCTAGCCAACCAAGAAACTATTGTCGAAATATTGGGATTCGTAAAGAGAATTGTAGATAACTACAGACTGGTTAGAAATGTATCTACTAAGAACAATCAACCGAGTGATATTGCACAACCTACAGATCCAGGGCTGATTTGTAAAATGAAGTCCGAGATTAGTTTCGACTTCCACCGTTTGAATATACTTGTATTCAGAAGTACTCGCTTGGATAGCCTTAACATTGGGAGAAAAGTCGGAACTTTAACAATGAGTGAGGCTAAAATTCATGCCTCGATTGGAAATGAATTTTCCGTCTCCGGTGCTTTGGGTGGAATACAAATTGTGGACATTACGCCAGAGGGATTTAACCATCAACGAATATTTTCGGTTGGCAAGGATCCTTTAACGGACCCTCCTTCTCTATACACAAATGATATCTTGTTTACATTAACGAATGAGATGTATGGCAATGATATTGACGATGATAATTCATACCTAAATGCCCTCAGCTTTAAGATAACTCATTCGAAATCATCGCAGATCGTAGCAAAAATTCGAATGGCTTCGGTATGGTACACTCATTGCCCAAGATTTATTGAAGAGATTTATTTATGCGTAAAAGAATTCAAGCAATACTTTAAGTAAGTAACTTTATTTATAGTATTTATATATATAGAACCCTTGTACTCATATCAGAAAGATTTAGAATTTGTTTTTATAGGCCAGAAATTTTTATTTATGGGACTGTGTTATGCAAAAATATGGTCAATATATTATATTAAAAAAACGCACATTTTATAATTTTTGAAGAAATATATACATCAATATATAAAAGGCCAGGCGTTGTTAATTGCATATGTGAGTCCAAATGTTCAATCGGCTCAATTTATTCTTCGTCTTGACATGTTCTACAGTAGTCAATACCATAGTTGGCCCATTTCGAGGTCATTGCCCTCACCTTGCAGTGACCTGTGATGATGCCCACCACAAGTTTTAAATCAGGTTTCGACAATGACAGTAGCGACTTTGTTCTCTTCTCCGAGAGTGTGGGCCAGATTCTTTTGGAGATATTGTATCACCTTTCGACCAGCAATTTTTGTAGCATCGTTGTCTGGAATATTGTAATGACCAGGAACCCAACAGAACTTGATGGACAACCTACCATTTTCCAGGATAGTGCCGGGGTATTTAGATTCAGAGGAGAGGTTTAGCGTGATCCCACCTAGCATCGGTGCTATAGAAGAATGACATTTCGTTTCCTCGTGAAGTGGGCGAGCTCTGTGTTTGATGGGTTCACGCCTAGTCCATTGAGACGTGCCTTCCTTGATAAGATGACTACAGCTCCCTGCATCAGATCAGAGATAGTTTGCAGGAATTTTCCAGCAATCAACAGGACAACATCATCAGCATAAGCGACTACCTTGTCCCATTTTGCCCCAGATCTATGCGCAGGTTGTTGATAACCCAAAGCCAGAGTAATGCTGATTGAACACCGCCTTGCGGCTTGACCCTGGTGACCGATTTCCTGACAGGTATTTCCCCAATGCTTGAGTTGCTAATTCTGCTACTCAATCCAATTTATGAGGAGTTGGGGTACCCTAAGTCTGAAAAGGGTATCGTGATTCAATTGTGGCGTTGTTGAAGGCTCTCTCAATATCAAGAAAAGCGGCAAAGGTGAACAAGGAGCCACTCATGTTTTTCTCAATGAACCCTACAACATCTTGTTGAGCTTTCATGTAGGCATTTTGAGCAGTGCTGATGATAGTCGTTGCAATTATAGATCTGATTTCTATGCCTATAAGTCTTTCTAATGTTTTCAATAGGAATGATAAGAGACTGATTGGAGAAAGTGTTGGTCCTATTTTGTAAAGTCGTCTACTGTACCTCCTTAATTTGGCTAAATGTTTTGACCATCAAACTGGTTGGCATTTCATACCCGGGTAGGTAAGCAGATATACTTTTTAATAGCCCTCAAGCACGGCACTCTTTACGGAGTTGTCAATATCAAAGGTTGAGGTTAAGACCAAGTTGTCGAAACGGTGAAGCCTAGGCCAAATCCGCAAATTTGTCCCAAATTGCCGATGGAGGCTTGAAGCATCGGAAACGGCCGAAGATCCCTCCTGATGTTGAAACTTCGCACAAGTCTCATGAGAAGTGTTCGTTGTGGCTTTTTGAAGTGTCTCATCCCTTCCATATAAGGGAATGACAGCGATATCAAGTTACTCGTCAGAAAGGGATGAGTCATTTCCATTTCCATTTCTCAGTGTCTTAGTCTTCTCCAGAAGAGCGGACAATTGTTCACATTTCTGGTAAAAAAGGTCACGGATAACGTCATTATCAGTCTTGATCGTGTCGTCCTCCCGAAATTATACTCGTTTCCTTTGAACGGTCCAGGGTCATTGGGTCAATTTGGTCATTGGTGATGTTGGGGTTTTAATATTTGTTTTATTTAATTTTTTCTTCTCCATATCAATTTCGAATTTTGGAGGAGACGAGGTCCGCCATGGCATATCCTCCCTACCATGGTAATGACTTGGCATTTCAGCCTGCTACTCACTGAGGCGCCCAGGTATCAGTGAGGCAACCGTTCGAATACAGACGGTACCCTGACGGCAAACCGAGAAACACTGTTGGGCGCTGTTTACGTAACACCCCAGCGTTAGGGAATCTTTTATCTCGGTAGACAAACACCGATCACTGGTTAATTAGAGGCGCCAGCTATTCGCCCCGTCGAACCAAGGATCACGGGCACTAGTACCGCTGAGCTGTCCGTGACTGCCCAATATATTTATTGGGAGTTCCACTATTAGCAACCTGGTTTGCGTTAATTTGATGGTTTTGTGCTGGGTCAATGCTACCTGATACCTTCACTTAGACTGTGAGATATTAAACATATTCCTTTATTCCTTCTGTTTTATATTGAGTGTATGTGATATGTTTTGCTGTAATTGAACCGCATAGTAAGTAGCACATCTTGTATCGCATTACGAAATTCAAAGTTCTGTGTGAAAAATAGTTTGCGTAATAAAACTGAAATTATCTCATTGAAATATTCATTTCGCATGATTTTCTTTTTTGAAAGGAACAATCTGCTGAAAAAGATTAATTAAGAACGTGCAGAAAGAAATGCACGGAGACGTACCAATATTGCACAGGTCTCCGCTGCACTATCACCACTCACATTGACCAACTGCTTTCGAATACGATTTCTTAATAGCCTACAAGATCGTCGCATTTAAGTTTACATCTCCAATTACAAATAAAAGTTACACATACCAATTCAATAACGGACATTTGCGTAATGAGGTCTGTTAAATAAATTCGGGGAGATTTCACTACGAATAATTATTTCGAGGTAAAATTTTGTTAAGTACCGAGGATTGAAAAAAAATTATAGCCCTTAAATTTAAAAATAATTAACACATTTTTTTGGCCTTTTTATACAAGTGTGACGTTTTTTGCTTTCTTAATGCTGCGAATCAGTAGATCAAATCGTTCGTCTCCCACTCATAACGAAAGTAATAAAAGAAAAGATATCAAAAAACGAAAGGAGAACATAGCAGCTTTAGTATGGTATACTTTCTTTATAACACACAAAAAAAAAAAACATAAATAAGTTTCTGAAAGTATTGAACATATCAACATTCTGAAAATCTATATTAACAACGAACATCTTCTTCAGCGTTTGTATTACCTCCAAAACACAGCTGGAAGGTTAGACAACGAATCTTTCGGGGTAATCACAGGTTATCAACAGTAATATCCAAAGTGGCCAATAGTTGTTAGGGACGAATGTATCCACGAGAGAAATTGTAAACTACAAAATCAATTTTATGGCAATTCCACATCTTTTTTTTTTTGCTTTTATAAATGATTTCAATATATCACAAGTACCTATATGAAACAAATAGTTAAAAGACGTTAAGTTCTGCGAACTACAAATAGCAAATAGTATAATAGACATATCCGTGGGAAAATGTGTCAAAAATCATCATACTACCGAATATCGGGGGGTTATACCAAAACGTGGGCCGATACATCATTTTCAATACCAACCATCCTAAACACAATACAAGCTACTGTGCCAAATTTCAAAGCTCTACGTCAAATAATGTGGTCTGTATCGTGAATTAGGCAGTAAGACTAGATTAGGTTAAAGGTTGTATGAACAACCACTCCACTCGGAGACTTATTGGTCCATTGTGTTCATCCTAATTTAAAGAAGATAGGAGAATAGAATAAAGAGAAGGAGGAAATTAAGAAGCGAGAATCTGAATAAAGAGTAGAGAAGTCCAGCTTCGTCATGGATATGAATGACCTGGATCTCCATTCGCAGTTCACCAAATCTCTTTGGAGACATTACATTCCCTTCCAGTTAGCCAGTTTTGTTGAAATCTTTCAAGATAATGCTTATGCAGTATTTGGAAGAAGTGACATAAGTGTGACTCTCAATCTCTAGATCTACTCTACTCAGTTCCGCGTCTGGCCAATTCATTGTTTGACAAACGACCTAACCTTTTCCAGAACTGTCATAGATTTGATTGATTCTACTTGCCAGCAGTTCTATAGCCTTCCTGATAGCAAAGATTTCCGAAAAAACGCTACAGTTGTTGTTTAGTTTGAATGATCTTTGGATACTTAGATCTACCTTAGTCTACCGTGAAGACTCCAGCTCCCGTTTTACTTTCCATCTTTGACCCATCAGTATAGACAGCTATTCCGTCAAAAGGTGGAGTATCGCGGGTCCAGATGTCTCTGTTAGGTATATGGATATAAAGTAGTTCAAAGCTGTGCCTATGTGATATAAGTCGCTAGCTTAGCCTAATTTCCTATGCTCTCCACATACTTGAAAATGACAGACAGTCGTTGTCTTCGTTCATTGAGTCGCAGGACACACCTAGCAGCTTATTCCTCTAAAAATAAACCTAACAGTTTTAAGTTGAGTAGGGTGTCTAGTGCGGATTGGGGTGTGCTCCTAAACTCGCCTGTAATTAGTAGCGATGCAACTGTTTATACTTTATCACCACCAAACAAGCCCTACATAGGTTAGAATTAGTCGGAAGAATGACTCATATAACCATTTGATTATGTGAGGCTTGAGTCCCCAGCTTTTTCCTATGGAATTTTTGCAGGAATAAAGTGCAATTAAGCACTTCTTCACTCGCTCCTCGATGTTCCTTTTCCAGTTTAGTTTCTGGTCTAGGACGGTACCGAGATATTTGGCTTCCGAAGAAAGACGCCAAGTCCATTGCAGCGTGCCCATCTGGAGAGTTTAACTAGAGCTCCCTGCATAAGATCTGAAACATTTTGCGGGAATTTCTAGCAATCAGCAAGACCACGTCGTCGGCGTAATCCGATGACCTTTGTTACGCCGATCCGATGACCTTTGTGTTCCAGATGGATTAGAATTTCATTTATCACCAAAAGCCAGAGTAGTTCCTAACTGAACACTCCCCGATGCTTGAGTTGTTGATTCTGCTTCTGAGCATAACATCAATCCAATCAACTGGAGTGGTGGTATACTAAGCTTTGCGAGGGAACTATGAATTGCCTCAAGTATGAGGCGAGAAAGGCTGCCAAAGTGAAGCACGAGTTGTTCAGGTTCCTCTCTACATAACCCACGACGTCGTGTTGCGCATAT